CCCAGGGGGCTCCTCTTCCTCCTCCTCCTCCTCCTACTCTTCCTCTTCCTCCTCCTCCTCCTCCTGCTGCTGCTGCTGCTCCTCCCTCTCCTCCTCATCCTCCTCCTCCTCCTCCTCCTCCCTCCTCCTCCTCCTCTCCTCTCCTCCCTCCTCCTCCTCCTCCTCCTCCTCCTCCTCCGGGCCGAGGAGGGAAGAGGGAGATGAGGCTGCGTTCGCCCACGTGGGTCCCGACTTTCCCCAAGCACTCCACGGACAAGAGGCACCAGCGCGGCGAGCCGATCTCTGCAGGTGCGCTTCTTTTTGGCTTGCAGAGGAAGACAGCGAAGAAACAGCAGCAACAAGATGGGGCGGGTAACATGGTCGGCCCACGAAGACGGAGAGGAATCTAGAGATGTGAAATATAGACAAGTAAGACACGGCAATGTGTTCGAAAACACATGATTGGGCGACGGGCGAATGTAATGCCGAATGTGTCGATCTTGATGTACCGTGCCGAATGCTGTGCTGTGCTGCGCCGTGCTGAACTGCGATGTGCCATGCCGCGATTGTGCTCTGTATAGCGTTGTGGATCGAGTCCTCCCTGGCATCCGAGTCCTGACCGAACTGATCTGGATCTTAAGCTCGAGCTGCCTGAGCAGATGGTAGCTGCCCCAGAACTAATCGACAGAGGGGACATGCCAGGAGGACGCGCCGCGGAACGTCCGAAGACACGCGCCAAGCGACGTGCCAGAAGACGTGCCATGGGCACGCACCGCGGGACGTGCCAAGGGGACGCGCTACGGAACGTGCCAATGGACGTGCCGCGGGACGTGCCAGGGGACGCGCCGCGCGACGTGCCAGGTGGACTCGCCACGGAACGCGCCAAAGAACGTGCCAAGGTGCAATGTTGAACGTATCGATCTTGATGTACCGTGCCGACGACCGTACCTGAATTGCGATGTGCCATGCCGCGATTGTGCTGCAAAACTTTGTGGATCGAGTCCTCCTTTGCATCCGCGTCCTGACCGAACTGATCTGGATCTTAAGCTCGAGCTGCCTGAGCACATGGCCTTTGCCCCAAACCCAATTGACAGGGGGACATGCCAGGAGGACGCGCGGAACGACCCAAGGGACGCGCCAAGCGACGTGCCAGGGGACGTGCCATGGGCACGCACCGCGGGACGTGCCAAGGGAACGCCCTACGGAACGTGCCAGGGGCAATCGTTTCGTTCGAGACATCCTGCCCAAATCCTCATGCTAGACATCCGCCTGGGCGACATGGACACGTGAAAGCAAGCGTTTCCGCCAACACATCCTCATGCTAGACATCCGCCTGGGCGACCTGGACGTGTGAAAACAAGTGGTTCGCTCGAGACATCCTCAACACACCTTCATGTTAGACGTCCGCCTGGGCGACCTGGACACATGAAAACAAGCGCTTCGCTCGAGACGTTCTCAGCACCTCCTCATGCTAGACATCCGCCTGGGCGACATGGACACGTGAAAGCAAACGTCCGCTCGAGACATCCTCAACACATCTTTATGTTAGACATCCGCCTGGGCGACCTGGACACGTGAAATCGAGCATTTCGCTCAAGACATTCTCAACACAACTTCATGCTAGACATCCGCCTGGGCAACCTGGGCGCGTGCAAACAAGCGTCTCGATCGAGACGTCTTCAACACATCCCCATGCTAGGCATCCGCCTGGATCACCTGGACGCGTGAAAACAAGCGACTCGCTCGAGCTATCCTCAAAACGAATCCTCACGCTTGACATCTGCCTGGGCAACCTGGACGCGCGAAACCAAGCGTCTCGCTCGAGACATCCTCAAGACCTGGGCACGTGAAAACACGCATTTCACTTGAGAGATCCTATGCCTTCTGGTCTCGAGGAGAGGACAATCCATAACACAACATCAGCGTTGCGCTCGAGACATCCTCGACATGTCTTGCAAAACAAGCGTTTCGCTTGGGACATCCGACCTCGTTAGTTATCGCAGATAACTCCGCCATCTTCACATCAAAACCAAAAGTGAAACCTACTAAAAGAGAACCCTGGGCCCGCGTCCTTTCCGGAAAACGGACCACGAACTACATGCTGGAAGCCTGGAAAGCAAGACACTCCAGTCGGCCTGCTTGCTGCGTGGTGCAGAAAGCTCTGCCCAGAGAGGGCCCAAAAACGGCCTCCGACAGCCAAGAGGTCCCCCCTGGCCCCGAGAGGCCCCGAGAGGCCCCAAGAGGCCCCAAGAGGCCCCCAAGAGGCCACTCAGAGGCCCCTAAGAAGCCCCCAGGAAGCCCCCAGGAGGCCCCGAGAGGGCCTCAAGAGGCCTCCTCCTCCTCCTCCTCCTCCTCCTTTTCTTCCCTCTCCTGCCTCTCCTGCTCCTCCTGCTTCTCCTCCTCCTCCTCCTCCTCCTCTTCTTCCCTCCCTCCATTGTTCCCCTTCCAAGTCTTCCCCAAAGGAGTTGACACGCTGGGAGAACGCATAGTCCAATCGTGTGGTCAGAGTTCAGCCCAACGTTTGCACGTGTGGGCGTTTCCAAAAGGCAGGGGCATGACGGTGATTCGCCACAAGCGGCTTCGATCATACAACTATTGCGTGCCGCGCAAAGCCTCCAAGATTTCTCAGATGGAACGAGTTCAGCATGGTGCTTTATTCCAAACGCCCAACACACATGATGGTTGGGAAAAATCAAGACGTACGTGCTTTTGTATGTTTCTGCTTTCTGGGGCCCTTCCCGGGCATCGGGACCGTCAAAACATGATCGACCCACGAACCCGGAAAGAAATCTAGGAATGTAAGGCATGGCAACGTTTCAAGGACACCTGATTGGGCGACGGGCACATGCAATGCTGAACGTATCGATCTTGATGTACTGTGCCGACGGCTGTGCTGTGCTACGCCGTGCTGAACTGCGATGTGCCATGCCGCGATTGTGCTCTGTATAGCGTTGTGGATCGAGTCCTCCCTGGCATCCGAGTCCTGACCGAACTGATCTGGATCTTAAGCTCGAGCTGCCTGAGCAGATGGTAGCTGCCCCAGAACTAATCGACAGAGGGGACATGCCAGGAGGACGCGCCGCGGAACGTCCCAAGGGACGCGCCAGGCGACGTGCCAGAAGACGTGCCATTGGGCACGCACCGCGGGACGTGCCAAGGGGACGCGCTACGGAACGTGCCAATGGACGTGCCGCGGGACGTGCCAGGGGACGCGCCGCGCGACGTGCCAGGTGGACTCGCCACGGAACGCGCCAAAGAACGTGCCAAGGTGCAATGTTGAACGTATCGATCTTAATGTACCGTGCCGACGACTGGGCTGTGCTGTGCTACGCCGTGCTGAA